CCCGGCTCGGCTGGTGGCTGCTATCCTTCCCCAGTACCTCGACCGGGTGAGTGTGGCCCCGTGCCTGACGGGATTGTCTTGAGGAAAGATGTGCTGTGCTTTTGGAGGGCTCCTGCAGGTTAGACTCAAATGAGTTGCCCGCTCCCTGCGAAGGAGCATAAGCAGGAGCTACAGGGAGGGCTGAAGTACTCGTGGAGCAGAGAGACCTGTTGACATATTCTTCCCGCGTTTGCGTAACCTAATGAACCTACGTAACGTTGCTGCAACGCAAAAGGCTTTTTAACGTTCACGACCCTGTAAAGAGGCGTGCATGTAGTTCTCACTGCAATAATTGTCGTCTCGGACACTGTGCCGGGGTTGCCTCTAGGTAAGCACAAGCTTGCACTGGATGCTGGCGGTGCCTGGCTCTTCCTGAAGTGTTTTTACACAAATGCACGCAGCGGGAAGAGCAAGCAAGAGGAGCCAGATGCCTTGGCCCAGTGCCAGAGATACGATGTCATAGGCATAAGCGAAACCTGGTGGGATGAGTCCTGTGACTGGTGTGCCATGACGGATGGTTACAGGCTCCTCAGGAGGGATAGGCAGGGCAGGCGAGGCAGGGGGGTGGCACTGTATGTAGTGGAGCGGCTGGAACGCATGGAGCTAGCAATTGGCGATGGCACGGTTGAGAGCCTCTGGGTAAGGATTAAGGGACAGACAAATAAAGCGGGTGTCGTCATGGGAGTCTACTATAGGCCACCCAACCAGGATGACAACACGGATGAGTTGTTGTTAAGGAACTAAGGGATGCTTCCAAGTCATCTGCCCTTGTCCTTATGGGGGACTTCAACTTGCCAGATGTCACCTGGGAATACCACACAGCCCGTACAAGCAGGTCCAGAAGATTCTTAAAGCATCTGGATGATACCTTCGTGATACAAGCACTAGGAGAACTGACGAGGAAAGGTGCCTTCCTCGACCTGCTGCTTACTAGCAGAGAGGGTCTCGTGGGTGAAGTGCCGATTGGTGGCTGCTTTGGCCGCCGCGACCACGAAGCAGTCAAGTTCAAAATCTATGGTAACAGGAGGAAAACCGCCAGCAGGACCTCAGCTCTGGATACGAAGAGAGCTGACTTGAGGCTGCTCAGGGAACTACTTAGTAAGGTCCCGTGGGGAAAAAGCTTTGGAAGGTGTTGGGGTCCATCAGTGCTGGTCACTTTTTAAGTACCGCCTCCTAAGAGCACAGGAACAGGCAATTCCAGAATGTCGGAAGTCAAGCAGGCGAGGTAGAAGGCCGGCTTGGCTGAGTAGGGATCTTATGCTAGAACTAAGACAAAAAAAGAAAATGTACGAGCAGTGGAAGCAAGGTCAGGCGACATGGGAGGACTACAGAGATGCTGTTCGCCACTGTAGGGAGGAAATACACATGGCCAAAGCTCAACTAGAGCTGAAGCTGGCCAGTACTGTGAAGGACAATAAAAAGGGCTTTTTAAAATATATAAATAACAAAAGGCAGGTGAGAAATAACATTGGCCCGTTACTTCACGAGCATGGTTAGCTCACAAACAGGGGCATAGACAAAGCAGAGACGTTTAATGGACATTAGGAAAAGGTTCTTCACCCAAAGGGCGGCAGAGCACTGGAACAAGCTCCCCCAGGGGGTAGTCACGGCACCAAGCCTGACAACATTCAGGAAGCATTTGGACAATGCCCTCAGACATACGGTGTGATTTTTGGGGTTGTCCTGTGCAGGGGCAGGAGTTGGACTCAATGATCCTTGTGGATGAGTCCTGTGACTGGTGTGCCATGACGGATGGTTACAGGCTCCTCAGGAGGGATAGGCAGGGCAGGCGAGGCAGGGGGGTGGCACTGTATGTAGTGGAGCGGCTGGAACGCATGGAGCTAGCAATTGGCGATGGCACGGTTGAGAGCCTCTGGGTAAGGATTAAGGGACAGACAAATAAAGCGGGTGTCGTCATGGGAGTCTACTATAGGCCACCCAACCAGGATGACAACACGGATGAGTTGTTGTTAAGGAACTAAGGGATGCTTCCAAGTCATCTGCCCTTGTCCTTATGGGGGACTTCAACTTGCCAGATGTCACCTGGGAATACCACACAGCCCGTACAAGCAGGTCCAGAAGATTCTTAAAGCATCTGGATGATACCTTCGTGATACAAGCACTAGGAGAACTGACGAGGAAAGGTGCCTTCCTCGACCTGCTGCTTACTAGCAGAGAGGGTCTCGTGGGTGAAGTGCCGATTGGTGGCTGCTTTGGCCGCCGCGACCACGAAGCAGTCAAGTTCAAAATCTATGGTAACAGGAGGAAAACCGCCAGCAGGACCTCAGCTCTGGATACGAAGAGAGCTGACTTGAGGCTGCTCAGGGAACTACTTAGTAAGGTCCCGTGGGGAAAAAGCTTTGGAAGGTGTTGGGGTCCATCAGTGCTGGTCACTTTTTAAGTACCGCCTCCTAAGAGCACAGGAACAGGCAATTCCAAAATGTCGGAAGTCAAGCTGGCGAGGTAGAAGGCCGGCTTGGCTGAGTAGGGATCTTATGCTGGAACTAAGACAAAAAAAGAAAATGTGTGACCAGTGGAAGGAAGGTCAGGCGACACGGGAGGACTACAGAGATGCTGTTCGCCACTGTAGGGAGGAAATACACATGGCCAAAGCTCAACTAGAGCTGAAGCTGGCCAGTACTGTGAAGGACAATAAAAAGGGCTTTTTAAAATATATAAATAACAAAAGGCAGGTGAGAAATAACATTGGCCCGTTACTTCACGAGCATGGTTAGCTCACAAACAGGGGCATAGACAAAGCAGAGACGTTTAATGGACATTAGGAAAAGGTTCTTCACCCAAAGGGCGGCAGAGCACTGGAACAAGCTCCCCCAGGGGGTAGTCACGGCACCAAGCCTGACAACATTCAGGAAGCATTTGGACAATGCCCTCAGACATACGGTGTGATTTTTGGGGTTGTCCTGTGCAGGGGCAGGAGTTGGACTCAATGATCCTTGTGGATCCCTTCCAACTCAGGACATTCTGTGATTCCTGAGAATTGGGTGCCATTGGCTCAGTGGCAGTACATCCCGTGTTTTCATGTCCCGCTGAACCACACTCGTAGCAGGAGGTGGCGTTTCTCCTCCGCGTGTCTGACGTCCGTTGCGCCGTGTCACTGAGGCTGTTGCTCTGACAGCAGGGCCCCGCTGTGCATTTTCCTGCGGGGAGTTAGTGCTTTCTCTAGGCGAGGGGCAAGAGCTGAGGAAGGAGACAGCCCTCGGGAGAGCCTGGTGGTCGTGTGTGCCCTTGGTCTGAATGTGTGGGAGTAGGTCCACGGCCTGGCTCAGCCCTGGCCTCAACCTCCATTTCTTTTGGTTCATGTGGCGCAATATGGCAAGTGAAACTTCATTTCAGGGAAGGAGCAGAGCTTGTCTCTGTTAGCACTACCCTTTGTCCAGATCCTAATGGAGCTCACAAGTGAGTCTGCCCCCTGCAGAGCTGCTCCCTTGGTATTGAATATCAAATAAAATACTGAATTTGCTTCAAATCGAGGTCACTGTGAGGCTCTTGTTTGCCCTGCAGGAGCTGTACCCTGTGGTCACTGGAGGAGTACCTGAGACGACAGAGCTGCTGAAGCAGAGATTCGATCACATCCTCTACACGGGGAACTCGGCAGTGGGCAAAATCGTGATGGCAGCGGCCGCCAAGCACCTGACGCCCGTCACCCTGGAGCTGGGCGGGAAGAGCCCCTGCTACATCGACAAGGACTGTGACCTGGCCGTCGCCTGCAGGTCAGGCTGTTGCAAGGCCTGGGTGGGCCGCTGATTGTCCCCAGACTGCGGGTGTTGCTCAGGCGCTATCAGGCGGGCCGTGGGTGCTGGAAGGGACGGACCGTGGAGGAACCGTCTCCTTTTCTCCCGTAGGCGGATAACGTGGGGGAAGTACATGAACTGTGGGCAAACCTGCATCGCCCCGGACTACATCCTCTGCGACCCATCCATCCAAAGCGAGGTGGTGGAGAAGATCAAGGCGACTCTGCAGGTGAGTGTGGAGTTCCTCGTGCTGTGGGAGTTGTCCCCGTTAGAGCCCAGGTCTGAGTTTTGTAGCTGCAGGCCTGGAGCTGCGGAGTTTGTGAAGGTTCTGCTGTGCCCTTTGGCAGGAGTTCTACGGGGAAGACGTGAAGTCGTCTCCGGATTATGAAAGGATCATCAACAAGCGTCACTTCCAGAGGATTCTGGGCCTGCTGGAAGGGCAGAAGGTCGCGCACGGGGGAGAGGCTGATGAAGCCTCCTGCTTCATAGGTGCTTCTGGCAGCTGTTGGGGCGGTGGAGGGTGGGACCTTCTGCTGGTAGTGGGTGTGTTTTGGGGGGGCTGTGTGTGTCTGTGGCTTGCTTGGTGTGTGTTGAACGCAGGCAGTGCCCAGGACGAGGTCCTGTGACTGACCACGTCTTCTGTCCTGCTCACGCTGTCTCGTGCCCTCCCGTTTGCCTCAGCACCGACTATCCTGACGGACGTTTCTCCGGAGTCAAAGGTGATGGAGGAGGAAATCTTTGGCCCGGTCCTTCCCATTCTGAGCGTGAAGAGCGTGGACGAAGCCATTGAATTCATCAACCGTCGGGAGAAGCCCCTTGCCCTGTATGTCTTCTCCAACAACAAGAAGGTGGGTCTGGGCTGTGCTCCCCCGCGGAGGCGTCTCTGTGCAGTCGCATCCTGAACGTGGCCAGTCCCAGGCACAGCCGTGTCGGCTCCTCTTTGCTTGTGAATGGCAGCGTTTGCCTCACGGGGGACCGTGAGTGTCCCCAGAGTTGGTGGAAGCTCCCAGTCTCCTGCTGAAGTGCTTTGCGTTTGCATGACTTTATGAAATAGAAGGATAAAAGGCTGAATTTCCTCTTGGTTGCCGTGTGGTCTTTCTTGATTAATTGGCTTACTTTTAATATATTGCAAGGGAGTCAATGTCCCAGAGTGCCAGCTTTCACATCCCTCCTCTGAACTTTCCCACTTTCTTTGAGTTAACATTGAATGGAGAGGGCTTGTCTGAGTCGTCAGTCAGAGGAAATGAACACGATGGCCGGTTGGCTCATAGCTCCCCTCGCGGTCCCGCTCGGTTACATGCTCTGGCCTCTTCTGGGCCTTTGTAGCGTTCTGTTTGGTGTTTTTCTTTTGTCAGTTAATCAAGAGAGTCATCTCGGAAACCTCCAGTGGGGGTGTTACTGGAAACGATGTCATCATGCATTTCTTCCTCTCAACCTTACCCTTTGGTGGTGTCGGTAAGTGGCTGGAGCTCCTTAAGCGTTGTGACTTGATGCGCGGTGTAACCCGGGGAACAGGAGCAGTTGGTTTGTGTCCAAGCACCCCTTGGTACCGCAGATCTCAACAATAAATTCTGGGGGTACCTTAGGAAAGGGGCCAAAAGAGAGAAACCTTTGGTTGTGTTTTTGGGAAGACTGAAGCGTTTAGTGCAGACTGATGTGAAAGGTGCGTTATAAACATTAGCTGTGCTCGGAGTGATTAGCAGTAATTGCAGGAGGCAGGGTAGGACTTCAGCTTGGGGAGAATCGGAAGGGGTTATGGAGGGGCCTACGGGAGCT